CATCAATTGAAGATATTTGACTATTATAATTTATTTTAGAATTGTCCAAATTGCTATTTAGATTAGCACGTAACTTCATGTAAGATTTGGGACACGTATTATTATTTTGTTCAAATTTGGTTTAAATGCCTTAGCCGATTACATGAATAAAATGTTAGATGTGAAATTTCTACAGTTTAGTTTACATCAATTATTTTACTACTAAATTTATCATCAATGTTTTCTTTTTATTTATAAATCTATACTTTATAAATTTATGAAAATGTTTGATTTGATACAAAAATAATATCAAAAAGTTTATTCATATGTACCTTAACTACTAGACCAGATTTTGGGGCATTACAGCTTGAGCACCGCCTTTCCAAATAACTAGGAGAATTAGCTATAAAGCTATTTTGAGGGAAACAAATATTTCTGTACGTGGAGAATTATTCTTTGAAATACGTACATGAACTATTGAAGAAATATTTTCCAAATATTACTACTCTTTTTGAAACGAAATTATTGGAAACTTATTTTTGTATGTATCATATATACAAATACTTATTTTTGAACAAAACTATTATTTTACGGAGTTGGGTGGATTTACTTAGCGAAAGCTAATTTTTGTGTTATTTGTTTCTTTTGTTTTCTTATGTTACAGATGATGTGATATATGAAGATTGATGTCTTGAGAGCGCTCCTAGAAGACTTTTAGAGTAGTCTCATTTAGAATAAACTTGATTAGATTTCATTATTTTAAATGTTGAATTTAATATTTACTTTAGATACATTTATGGTGGATAGCCTTAGCATCTAGTCAGTTGAGGGCTGGGTGTGGCGGTAACATGCCCCTTTTCCTTGTTATTGTTTATTTCCGCTGCAAACGATTGAAAGCTTCGAATAAATAATAAAAGTTTATTGTTTCTTTAAGTATTATTTCTGGAGGGAAATTTGGGGGTGTTACAGCAGGGCAGGGCATGGCTGGGCAGGGCTAGGCAGGGGTTGGGTTGGGCAAGGCAGGGCATGGCCTGGGCATGGCAGGGCAGTGCAGGGCTGGGCTAGGCAGGGCAGGGAAGGGCAGGGCTAGGCTGGGTTGGGCATGGCCTGGCCATGGCCTGGAAGGGCAGGGTTGGGCTGGGATGGGCTGGGCTAGGCAGGGGCTGGGCTGGGCAGGGCAGGCTGGGCAGGGCAGGGCTGGGCAGGACTGGGCATGGCAGGGCAGGGCTGGGCAGGGCTGGGCTTGGCAGGGCAGGGTAGGGCGGGGCTGAACTGGGCAGGGCAGGGCTGGACAGGACAGGGGTAGGGGAGGGTAGGGCTGGGCTGTGCTGGGTTGGGCTGGACTGGGCTGGCTACCTGGCTGGCTCATATGTACGTTAGTGGAGGACCCACTAAGGGTCCCAAGGGGTCCCGGGACCCCGTGCACCTCGGAAAAAACCCTATATATATATATGATATATATTATTTAAAATTAATTATTCAATGTATATTTACAAACAAAACAACTTTGAAACAATAAGAATGGAGCAGCGGATCTGGAACACGCTCGGAAGAAAAGTATTTAAGTTACTTGAGGTACCAAGTAAGGGAAGACACGGCCCAACTTAGGCCCAAAACAAAACAAAAGACCTAGCCCCCTTTTCCTTTCACGCTGCCATTCCCCGGTTTCCCCCATCTGCGAACTTCGAAGCCCATGCCCCTCTTTTCCTTTCACGCTGCTATTTCCTCCATCAGACCACCAGCCCACCTCTTACCTATCAACACCACTTACCCACTTGAGAGGTTAGCCAAATTATATACGGACGAGATCGTGAGGTTACATGATGTTTCGGTGACCATCATATCCGATAGAGACCCACGATTCACGTCACGTTTTTTGCCAAAGTTTCAAGAGTCTATGGGAACGAGGTTGAAGTTCAGTACTGCGTTCCATCCACAGACGGATGGACAGTCTGAAAGAGTTATTCAGATCTTAGAAGATATGTTGAGGGCTTGTGCATTGGAGTTCCAAGGGAGTTGAGACAATCACTTAACACTTGTGGAGTTTGCCTATAACAACAGTTATCAGGCAAGTACTGGCATGCCTCCATACGAAGCATTGTATGGGAGGAGGTGTCGTACACCATTATGCTGGGACGAGGTTGGCATGGCCAAAATCGAGAGTACTGAGTTGGTTGAGATCACCAAGTCAAATGTGAAGTTGATTCGAGAGAGACTCGAAGCAGCTCAGGATAGACAGAAGAGTTATGCAGATAAGCGACGGAGAACCTTAGAGTTTAAGGTAGATGACGAGGTATTCTTGGAAGTTTCCCCTTTGAAAGGAAATCATTTGATTCATAATTAAGTTGCTGCTACATATCTCTAAATATGTAGGGAGTTACAAATAGAATATATGATGGATAAGAATAATCTTAATAGTATTGAAATACTAGTTAACGATTGCTGTAATTGTTAAGGAATTGAATCTAAGGATTTGATTTTTAATTGATGTACTTGATTGTGATGCAAGTGACTAAATTGATGTAATGTGATGCTAAGATCATGATTGGGCAGTCCGTAAGGATGTCCCAAAATAGATTATTGATATTACAATTCTAGGCATAGCGAGTGCTTAGGAATTGGGGTCTATGCCAATGTAAGTTGAGTTGGGTAGACATGACGTGGTGATTGATGACATGCATGGTGATGTAGTTGACTTGGACTCAAGAAATGCATGGGATATATAAGGTTGTAGCCTATGATGTGCATGGTGATGTAGTTGAGTTGGGCTCAAGAAATGCACGGTGGAGTAATTAATTTGTCTTATATAAGGTGCATGATGATGTAGTCGGGTTGGACTCGAGAAATGCAAACATATGTGTTAGGGTTGAACCCTATGTATTGTCGTGACTAGGGGTCACGGGGTTTGGGTTATATTTCGTAAACAAACCGTGGGTCTATGGGCCGACTACTTGACTTTATATATAAAGTAAGTATATTTTGAAAAAGGGTAACTTGGGGTTACGACCTAGCTTATATTATCACCCTATTTGAGGGTCTTGTGTTTGAAATACTTGTTGTATATCTATTAGATGTCATCCACACCAGCACTTTATAGCCCTATAGAGTGCTGACCCCTTCGGGGGCGTCCCACCATCATTTCAGGTTGAGGCTAGAGCTTGCTACCTGTGCTTGTTGATCGGGCAATCATCTCGGAGGGAAGACTTGGTTCGTGTTTCCTCAAATTCTGTTTTTAAACATTTAAACATGCTCATGGATATTGTTTTTCATTACGGAGCCCCGTGTGGCATTTGTTTTCAAACTATTTTTCCCACTGTGTATTCAATGACTTATTATGTATGTTTATGGATGACTTATGTGTGAATGATATACGAGACGCCTTGTATAATATGGATGAGTTAGACTGCAGTTGACTATTCGTATTGTACGGCGGATTGTTGACGTGTCCGGATAGGTCCGGGGCGTGACATACGGACCCCGTGACTCCGACTTTCTGGGTTCGTCACTTCCGTCCGTCTATCCACCTATATATTTATTTATCCACCCATCCACCATCCACTCTTTCTTTGTTCTTGGGCTGAGATATGGGCGTGTACTATTGATGGACTCGGGCCGGGTCGGGCCCGGTCGGGCCGCCGGGTAGTATGACATGGGCCCGGGACCGGCCCGAGGGTTGGATGGGTCCAGTCTGGGCCGGGCCACCCGCCCGGGTCACGGGTCGGGTCCGGTTCGGGCCGGGCCGGTTAAATTTTTTTTTATAATTTATATTTTATAGTTTATAGTTTTATACGAGTATTAAAAACAAACTTCAATTGCATTTATTTGAAATGAAATAGGAACTACATTTGAAAATTAAAACAAACTTTAACAGATAAACATTTTGAAAATTGTAATCAATCGGAACTTCCCGCACCTCCCAATCCTTTGCCTTTGTCACATGACTTCATATGCTTGATTGTCATTCTGAATCCGCCAGAAACCCCCATTCTACATTTTTTCTCGCACCATTTGCAAATTGCGTACCACATCCCGGTCTTCGGGTCCTTCTGCTTATCAAAATTATACCGTATAATGGCATCATGATTTTCCATCTTAACTTCTTAAGTATAAACTATAAAGTAGATATATAAATAATAAATATAATATATTGGAGAATAAGAGAATTAGAGAGTAGAAAGATAAGAATAGGATTTAGGAAGAATTGGAGAAGAGATATGAAAAAATGTTTAAGATTAGGAGTATTTATAGGTTTTTTTACCCCCCACCACCACCACCCCCCACCAGCCAACCCCCGGACCCCCCCTTTACCCCACCCAAGGGCTATATAGCCGTTTGGGTTGTCCCCAGCCCCAGCCCCAACGGCTAGTAGCCCAAACCAATTTTTTTTTTTTTAAATTAGACCCGGACCCGGGCCCGGGCCCGACCCGGCCGAGCCGGGTCACAATAATCCAGCACCGAGCCCACCCCGCCCCTTCCCACCGGTTCAGGTCCATACCCGGTCCCGGACCGCCCGACCGGGCCTGTCCCGGGCCCGCACAGTATCGGGCCGGGCCGGGTCACGGGCCGGGTGGCCCGAACCGAATCCAACCCTAGCGTGTACCTCATTCAAAAAGGCTGAATTTGGAAGCTGTGGGTGTTGAGCTTGATAAGCTTGGAGCCATAAAGGTAATTTATTCTCTATCCCGGCTTTGGTAATTGGTATGGTTCCCTTGCAATTTTACATTGGTATGGGTTGGGCTGGGCAGGGCCTGGGCAGGGCAGGGCAGGGCAGGGCCTGGGCATGGCAGGGCAGGGTAGGTCGGCGCTGGGCCTGGGCAAGGTTGGACAGGGCAGGGCAGGGCTGAGCAGGGGCTGGGCTGGGCAGGGGCATGGCTGGGCAGGGCAAGGCAGGGCTGAGCTGGGCTGGGCTGAGCAAGGGCTGGGCTGAGCTGGGCCTGGGCTGGGCCTGAGCATGGCAGGGTAGGGCAGAGCTGGGCAGGGCTGGGCACGGGCTGGGCTGGGCTGGGCAGGGCTGGGCTGTGTTTCTCTTCTTTTTTGACAATAACAAGATCTAACTGTTATTACTAAACATATCATTGTCTAAGCATACACTTGTAAAGAACCCAAATTTTGTCTTTAACACATACGAAGATTTGTCAAGTCTATAAATCAAAATGACAACACACTCGATGATAGTATTTGAGAAAGGACAACAGCCAAAACTGGAAGAGATAAATTTAGTCTTCATCATCCTCAATGATAGTAGTTCCTAGGCCCTTAAGTCCCTCCGGAGCCTCAGCAACAGTAACCAGTGAGTAAAGTTCTTCCTTAGCATCTTCATCATCATTCCTCTTCCTTGCAATTCGGACACGGACCCTCCTCGGCACACTTCGGATCCCTTTGCTCCAAATCTGTTTGTTTAGTTTCACATCAACCCTCACGTCTGTTGTTCCCATTGCTTTTTGAGCAAACTTCCTTATCTCCTTTATTGCCTTGGGTGCCTTCTTCTTGAAGGTGCTGCAAATAATATCACATATAATTGAGATGAGATTAACTGCAACACTCACAGCTACCACATAGTAAGAAATGATCAAATGAGGGAGGACTACTGTGTCTACGTTTTTGTACACTATGGGCCTGCTTGGAACAAGTTACTTAGTTGGAAAGTTGAATGTGCTGACAATACAAAAAGGACATCGGATTTCATTAAATCAATTCTATTCAAATCAGTCAAAAGCTATATATCCTAAGTCAACATATAAAACATATCCTAAGGTTTAAGACTGCAACGAACACAAATGTAATCTGGCAGGTGCAACTTTACCAATGTCGATGGAGAAATGGGGTTTGCAACTCTACCTAGCGGACAACGTAACTTATGGGAGGCATACAGCGGACAAACTGCTATATTGTATTGTATTTTATAACAATAATAAGCAAGTAGCATTTCACTTGAACTTCTTGATTCTAGAAGGGTAGAGACTACCAATATCCGTAATGTGTTAAAGAACATTACTATAGTCAACATTATAAATTGAAGCTCTACACTTCAAGAAAACCAGGGATTCAAGATAATAAAGGATCGCCAACAACATGCACACAATACACAATTTTCAAACTACTACTTTCAGACTTATGGTGGATAATCCTAGTTAAAGCATACATGCCGATAGCTAGTAATTAAGTTCTATCCAACATATTATGCAACAGATGCGGGGATATATTCAAAACTACAATCACATATAGAGAGTACCATCCATGCAAGCGTCTGTGGAGATTGATGGTGTACTCTCTGGTCACAACTTCATCTTTCCTGGTTGCCCTCGGCTTGCCTGACATTGTTGTAGAGCTCTACTGATCAGCAGATGTCTGCTTCATTGGATTTTAAATTCATAATATTTTCAGTAAGAAATTAATTGCATCATAAGTGTCACAAACTATACAAGTTCTAAGCATAACTCATAACTGTTTCTTAAAAAGTGCAACAACTTAATAATTGATCAGGGATTATACGTGTCACGCTGAGCTGCACATAGAGAAGATTCCAGATATTTATTATATTTCATTTGTTTATGTACATAAGTAAATTTCATAGGGATAACAGAAAAGGGAAAGGAAATATTATAGGAAAATATTTCAGATTAAAAAAAAGTAATTGAAGTAAAACAACATTCTCAATTGTTTCAATGATTTTAGAGAGTGAGAATACATTCAAAATGGAATCACTGAAATCCACAAGTAAAACAACATTCTGAACTAAAACATGAAAAACAAGTCAAACTAAAACAATGCGCAAATTCATATAAATAAAACAAGCAAATAAAGAATGTGAGAAATACATTGTGCAGGAAATGATTTCAACAGTTTGGAGAAAAAACACCCAAGCAAACATGCAATAGGGGAATAATCAGACATGATTGGTCAAGTAATGAATCAAATAAATGACTGTGTAATCAGCTACTTGAAAATGATTAAATTTATAGATAATGCAAACCTTGAATTACATGTGTTTTTATTACCATGATGCCTTTGAATTCACAAGGTTTATACAGGAAATGAAATAATTTGAACTCGCACAGGATTTGAGATGGTTCTTAGTGAATACTTATAGAAATTAAGGATTTGTTTGTGTCTATATAGCTTTCAAAATCACAGACACACACACACACACATATATATATATAACAGAATCTGGAATGTTACCACAAAGATAGAGGAAATTCAATTAATAAATGATTTGTTAATATGAGGGTTTCGGAGAACTGTGTTATCCACATAATGAATTCATCAAATTGGAAATAAAAACACTTAAGATAAGATGCAGTTCAGAAATAATCAAATGTTGTTTCTCAAGTAATGAATCAAATACATGAATATTGAATGAGGTAGACGAAGCAAACAAATTTATAGGTCAATGAATCAAATCAAATACATTTATCTAAACAAGCCTTTGAATGGAGAACCTTTATATAGACAATGAAATAGAAATTAAGCATATGTTTGTATGTGTGGGTGTGTATATGTCTGTGTGCATAGCTGTTATAGGGATTATTATACAGATTTCAAAATTATATATACATATACATCCACACAAATATACCAGTACATGCTGAAATTTTTCTTGAAGAACAACCCCCAAATTCAGGATACATGTGTGTATACTGAAATCAATCAAAACATTAAAAACAAATTTTTGAATTAAAAATCAAATTGAAATCATGTTTAAACAACAAAGCTCAAAATTGAGGATACGAGGCGTGAAGGGATCTATAGTTCAGACTAGTGGACAGGTTTTAAAATATGTATATACGAGTATAATTTAGTGTATAGCTTTTAAAATATAATGCTTATATACCTATTTATAAAGATTTCCTATGTTACATAATATACATACCACTACAAAATCCCAACCTTGCAAGACAAATAACAGTGAATCAAATAAAAGAAAGGATTAGCTAATGCAGAGAAAAGCAATCAAAGGAGATGCAATCCCCATTTATCTAGCGGTGATGTAAAGTTAGATATATTTAAGCAGTTTTAAAGATGAGATGTTAATGGAAGAATGATAGCTTTGTCCACAAAATGTTTTTAAAAATGTAACCACTAATAATCAAGCATATTTAAGTACAAAAACTGAACAACAAGACAGATGGACCGAAGCAATAATTTTACAACAGGCGAAAGTGCGAAACATTTCGGAAATGCAGAAAGTATGTGTCAAATACACTTAATGTTCATACAGTGTGCAGCAAAAACACAAAATCGGAAAGTGAACGAACGGATAAAGAACGAACCTCAACAGCGCCCTGTAAGCTTGATCTGTTCACTGCTGATGAGATATAAAAGCTAACAAACGAAACAAGAGACGATAACATAAGAAGGATCGTCGACTAAGCGGAAGTAGGGTTAGGTTTTTTGCCGATCTTGGGCCTGTGATTTCCTAGTTGGACCGGATCAAACACTTCGGGCCTATAACTTTAATTATTTAATTTGGCAGACTTTAAAATTACGGAGTATTTCTTGGTGCTCATTTGGTAAATTTGTTAGAACTCATGAAATTATAGTTGAATTGGTTTACTTCACGATCTTCACTAATTTGTTGGCTTGTGGAAATATTATATTTGAAATATTTTTAATGATAGATGAATAAAAAGTAACTTAAGTAACTTCAGTCAATTCAATAATAAAAGTAACATATTTTTCATTCGTGTTGATTATTACGAAATTCAGCGCACAAAACAAAAGTTATGTGTTTGATAAAAAAATTGACTCGTAAAATTGGGGTTTAATGCACCAAACCCTCCGTGATATAGAAATTCAGCACATTAACCCCCTCGTGATTTAAAAAATGCATCAAACCCCCCTGTGTTTTAATTAATCATGCACAAAACCCCATTTATGAATAAATTTAATGATTTGAAATCACTTTTCCTAATATTCTGATTGAATATGCAAGTAAATATGCCAAAATCTCTAAATCATACAAAAACGTTAATCAATTTTCTTTTATTTGACAATTGAATTTTTTCATAGAAGGGATTTTGCGCATAATTAATTAAAACACAAAGGGGTTTGACGCATTTTTTAAATCACTGGAGGCTAATGATATGCGTCGAATTTCCATTTCACAGTGGGGTTTGGTGCATTAAACCCATTAATAAGTTGAAAAATATCAGTTACCAAACAAGCTCTTAGTAATAAAATATTAAAACTAATATATTTCGAATCTCATGAAGCTAATCTAAAATGTATTATATGTGTTAGCTTGTGAATTTGAATAAGATTAGGGGAGGGAGGGGTGGAGAGTGAAGGAGGGGGAGAAACAGCATGGAAGATATTTTGTGTATGAAAATCGCTTCTCTTCCTTTTAACTCTCCGAGTCTTTTTTTCATAATGGAATTACAAGAGAAACTTATTTCAATTTAATTGATCACTTTGATTTTAAACCCAACTCTTGGAAGAAAAAAACCTTAATCAAAGTGTCATTTGTTTTAATTAAGTATATTTTATCTACTATTACAAATAATTACCTTCCTACTTCCAAACTTTCCATGAAAATTATTAACATCTTAAACCTAATTAGGCTTTCTTTGGTTCGTCCGTATGTGCATATGCTTTCTTCTCTAGCTGGCCACCTTCATCCATCTCTGACATATTTTTTTTTTTTGCTTTTTATGTAGAACCTCTTTTATTTCTTTTTCCTTTTTTTCTTTATCACATTTTCCCTTGGTTGTAATTTATGATTAATATTTAAGATATGCATGTTTTATTTTTCTATTTTTAATTTAAGATAAACATTTATTAGTTTATTAAATATAAAGTGTTAATTACTAACATGAGTTTTATGTTATGCTAAAATGAGTAGTGTATAACAAATATGTATGAGTAACATTATGAAAAGAACCCTATTATATTTATAATTCCAGAACAAAAGGCTATAAATTATTTTTAATATAAATAACTATATTTGTCATTACTGTATTTGTCACTACAATATATGTGCACAAATGACTATTTAAACACTTTAGAGAACAAGAGAATTCAAACAAACTTTTGATTTTTTTTTTCATTTTGTAATTTATGAATGTTCATCCAATACTAGTTTTATGCTCATTTTAAAATGTCATATTAATGCATATTTCAAAAGCATCATATTATATTTACATGGGAGCAAATATCATCATACTCAATTGCATGCTTCTGATACTCAATAAAAGATGTTTGATGTTCAATAAAAATGTGTTGATGCTCGATTAACAAAGATTATGATTTTCATAACATTGCTCATTTGGTAATTTGTGTATATTCACTTGGTACTGGTTCCATGCTCATTTTAAAATGTTATATCAATGCATACTTCAAAAGTATCATATTACATAAGATTTACGTAGAAATTGATTATACATACTCGAGCACAGAGCATGATACTCAATTGCATATTTCTAAAACTCAATAGAGACTTTTTTATGTTCAGTGAAAATGTTTTAATGCTCAACTAAAAAAACCTATGATTTTCATATCAATGCTCATTTTGTAAGTTACGTATGCTCAACTGATACTCATTTATGCTCATTTTTAAAATGTCATATCAACGCATATTTCAAAAGTATCGTATTACATTAGATTCACATATTAAAGTTCATAAGAGCTGATTATAAATATAATTTAATAAGTTTTTATAAAAGAAAAAATAACAAAAAGAAAGTGAATTAGATGTTATGAAGCAGAGATCACGATTCTCAATATTAGATTCCTATTACTCAACATAATAGGTATGATGCTCATTAAAAGTTCATTAATGCTCATTTACTAGAAACCGTGAATTTCATCTCAATAACGGAGGTTTGATGCTCAATTAAAATGTCGTGATGTTCAACTAACAAACCATACGTTTTTCATATCAACATGCACTTTGTAAGTTATGTATCCTCATTTAGTACCGATGTTATGTTCATTTTTAAAATGGCATATCAATGCATATTTCAAAAGTATCATATTACTCAATACAATAGGTCATATGAAGCAGAGATCGTGAAACTCATTGTTAGCCTCATAATACTCGATACAATAGGTCATATGCTCACTAAAAGTACACTATTCCTCATTTAGCGAGAGTCGTGATTTTTCGCTTAAATTACAATAATGTCACCGAAAAAAATTATGTTGTTTTAATTAAATGGATTGTGTTTCTTAACTGGGCCTTTTTTTGGGCCTTGTTAGGTTCTTTTTCTTACTCTTTTATAGTTATAATGAGCATTACACTAATATCAAATGAGGATACATACTTACGAAACGAGCACCAAAAAATTCAGAAAGATCATTTAAGATCTCTAGTATGCTCAAATATTAAATGTGAATACATAACGTGTGAAATGAGTATCAAAAAGTTCAAAATGATCATTACACCAATATGCATGGATGTGACATTTAAGTTGTCTAGTGTAATGCTCATTTTAAATTGAGCATTACACCAATATCAAATGAGCATTGTTAATTTACGAAGTGAGCATTGAAAATTTAAAAAGCTCATTTAAAATCTCGAGTATGCTTAAATATCAATTTGTGTATGCAGTTGTGTTCTAAAAGTCGTTCTAGGCGTTCAATTAGTCCCCGCCTAGGCGCTAGGTGGTGGTCGGGCGCCCCGATTTTCGTCTAGACGCTCCGACTAATTGGTTAGCTGTCTAGGTGAATTAGTCGGCCGCCTATGGCGCCTAGTTGCCCTTCTAGAGCGCCTAATCGCCGCATGCCTAGGTCGTCTAAATTCGCCGAACATTACTTTACTTTTTAATTTTAAATTTCTAAGCGCTATACGTACTTTAACTTTAGCCCATGGATATAAATAAATGAAGTTGTAAATTAAGATAAACCTATATATGTTTGTACATATACCCAAATTTTATCATTATTTATATTTATAACACAATGAAGTTAACTGATTAGTTATCATATACTCCGTACGTATGATTAAATATGATACTTCTGTCATTCATGTATGTTAATGTATATGTATATATATTTTAACACACAAAAATACAATATTACTTATCATATTTATGCAAAATATATATAAAGATGCAATTTCTATGTCTCCGATTAGTCCTCACCTAGGCGCTAGGCGCTGGGCTAGCACCTTTTAGAACATTGGTATTCAGTAAGCTCATACATGTAGATTATAAAAAAGAACTAATTCCTTATTTTAGACCAACCAATTTAATTAAGTAGGAGTTCAAAATTAGAGGAACAGAAGACATAAAGTCTATATAAAAAGAAAAATGAAAAAAGGAAGCAAAAAAATCAAAATTAAAGTTCAAAATCAAAAGAAAAGGAAAAAGAAAAATTAAAAATAAAAAAGACAAAAGAAAAAACGAGAAGAAAATACGGAAGGAATGCAAACAATAAAGAAGAAGAATAAACAAAAGAAAAGAAAGAATGGAGAACGTAGGAAGTAAGAATAAACGTGAGTGCCTGGTGTGAAAAGGAAGCAATTCAGCACCTCAACTTATCAATTATCCTCAAACTTGATATTAATTGTAAAAAACCGGATGTACATAACTACATATACACGGGATGTATGGTAAAATACACCGTACGGCCGGCTGTACGGTGCTCACCGTACATCTATTTTTTTTTTGTAATTAAACCTCCGCGATTCAGGCCTGCAACTCGCGATTCAGGCCTGCAACTCACCAACGAAGACGACGAAGGACGGCAGATCGAAAGTCTGGCGCAACTCACGAACGCAAATCACCGATAGCCAAGCTTCCAAGTGCAACTCACGAGTCACGACTGAGATTCTTAGCCGACGCAGAGACGGCTCTACCCCTGCGAGTGATTCCTATTCTTCACACTCTATTTTTCCGCCTCTTCTAATTACTGGCCTGCTACATGGGCTGCCACATTTTTTTTTATACAAAATTAAATTATGAGCATAGTAGACATTTCGAATGAGTTTTATGATTGCTCATTTTGTAATTTATGTATACTCATTTGATATTTGCTTAATACTCATTTAAAATGAAATGAGTTTTATGTTAAACTCAAATGAGTATAACGCCAAAAAAGAATGAGCACACACAAATGAACCTTTTAGTTATTTGATACTAACTTGTAAGTTATGTATGCTCATTTTAAAATGTTGAACATTTCAAATGTATGGTACTAAACGAAAAAATAATAAACCAAAAGTGATATATAAGGTTTGAAGTAGAGATCACTGATTCTCACCGTTAGACTCCTAATACTCAAAAGAACAGGATTGATGCTCATCAAAGTTGCATAAATGCTCATTTAGAAGAATCAACGATTTTCACAAAAAATACAATTTTGCCACCGGTTGTAAAGTGATCACTGTAGAGCCGATTGTACACTATACGCGATGATATAGGAGCTGCTACCCGTCAAATAGTGGAGGAAGTATTAAACGTTTAAAGTTCAACAATAAGGGCCGCGAAGGGAGACAGTTGACTGAGAATACTCGTTCTTCGCGGTGGGTTGACTTTGACGAAGGGGGTCTCACCTATCTCTCCATTATTTCCCTTTAAACATTAATAATTA